CTTCCGATGTTCGCTTTGGGTGCTCTACTGTCCCGAGCTGCTTGCCTTTGCCACGTGTCGGGCAATCGCGAGGTCGGGCCAAATTTCCCTTCATCAGCCAGGAATGCCCAAATTTTCGACAACAAAATGCCAAACCTAGTTAACCTCATTCAGCAGTTTCACTCCCATCTAAATTCTGTTCTCTCAGCCTTGTCAACCATTTCTCACACGGTTTCCTATCCAGTTCAAGCACCAATCTTGAATCATCGTTGGGAGAAACTTCCACTTAGCTTCTTGATGTAGATAAATGTTGATGCTGCTGTTGATTCTTCATCGGCTTCTGTTGGGTTGGTTATGAAAGATCACTCAGGGTTTTTCTTCTTTGCTCGAGCCTGCAAAATTAACAAATGTAACCCTCCGTTAGCAGAGGCCTTCGCTTTCCTTGAGGGTCCTTCCTTTGCCTTTGCCTTGAACTTTTCTCTTTGTATCTTTGAAGGCAACACTTTGTCCATTGTCAACTTTCTGTTGGTGGATTGTAATGACCCACCGTGGTCCTTGGAGACTTCACAATATGATAGTCACTTACAGAGGTTTATTGTCTTGCCTGCCCTTTAGCTCGGTTAGATTTATTCCTCATAGTGTAAACAATGCTGACAATGCTGCTCACCATACAACCAGACATGGCCTCTCTTGAGGCATTTTTGTACTTGATATTTGATCCTTGAGCTTTGGTTTGTGGGAAGATTTGGGTGGGATGGGAAAGTGTAAAAATTTACCTTTCTATTGTTTGGTTTTATATATGGGAAAATAATAGAAAAACACTATTACCAGGGAGAAGAGAGAAGAGGGAAATGGATATGGAGGGAGAGATAGATAACTCCATGACTGAAGCTTCGAATATGTCCTCCGACACCGATAGGCCCCCCTCCTATGCTTAATCAACCACTGTGCAGTGGTCCCCCCTTCTTCGCACTTTTTCTGTAACAGAGGATGACCGAAGACGAATAGCCATTGTGGGGTGTTCTGTTTCACCAAGAGGAAGTCGAACAGTAGTGGTGCGAAGACGATGAACAGTGCTTTGGTCACCACCGCTGCTCTTTCCTGTGTTCGTTGTTGAGAAGACGATGAACAATGTTGCGAAAAACAAAACACAGAAAGGGCGGAAAGCAAAGACGTAATAGTGCTGCGAATACGATAAACAGTGCTCTAGTCACCACCGCTACTCTTTCCTGTGTTTGTTGTCGAGAAGACGATGAGCAGTGTTGCGAAAAAACAAAACATGAAGAAGAAAGAGAAGAAGAGAGGAGAGAGGGAGGGAGTAGCTAAGAGGGGGTGCTGCCGTCGTTGCTCTACTTTTGGGTTTGGACAGGGGAGGGGAAGTAACACTGGTTTCTCAGTTTTTCCATTGGGGTCGCACTGTTTTGGTGCGACCCCAATTCCACGATTTTGGGATCTATCATCCCACATTTTCCCATCCCATCCCTCTATTTCCCTTAAAACAAACAAGAAAAAAGGGAATATTTTTAGAATATTCATTTTTTTTCATCCCCATCCCACAAAACCAAATGGAACCTGAGTTCCTTTGTCAAGCTATTGCATGGGATTTATCAACGGAATAAAGTTGAATGAAATTGTGCCTTAGGGCTTAAAAAAATAATAAGTACATAAAAATCATGTTTCGCATACCTCATACAAAGAAAGTGCGTTGTGTGTGAGTAAACAGAAGGTCGTAGGAAAGGATGCAAGGAAAATATATTTATTTTGTTATACATTGAGGAAAAAAAGGAGATCACATCTCCGCTCCACAAGGGGTCCCCCACAACGCATCCCTGCCGTGTATTAGAAACATCTCCCGATGATAACATTATTGGTTTTGGAATTATCATCCAGGAGATGTTCCCAATACAAAGCGGGAATGCGCTGTGAGGCGTTGTGGGGCAGTCCTTGTGGAGCGGAGATGTGAAGTCGAGGAAAAGGTGGCCTTTTTGTTGGGTGCAAAATTTTGAATGCAAGTTTTATATAATAAAGATAAAAGTTACGTAGGGAGTTCGAATCAGCCCCCCACAGCATCAGTCCCAATACACGGTGGGGATGTGCTGTGGGACGTTATAGGAGCAGTCTTATGGGGCTGATTCAGTCTCAGGCTTGTATTGTATATAAGCCTTTACGAATTTAAATTAGGGCATACATAATGGCCCAGCATTGACCTCGATCCCCAATGGCCCAATGGTCCAATGCCCCAATGCCCCAATGCCCCAATCCTAAAATCGAAGAAAAGAAGGAAGAGAAAATCCCAACCGAGTCGCCACAGTTATACATGGATTGGGAGCATCGTTGGGACAGTATGTGCTCGAAGAAATTACAGAATCAAAACCATTACCAAATTCCGAACCAGTGCCGAAGGAGTTCTGCTTCACTTCCTCTCATCTTCAATTTCTTGGGCGAGTGCTGAAACGAATTAGTCGACAATGGTTCAAGCAAAACACCAGAAGTCTAAACCCAAAAAGCAGCCCCATGTAAGTTTTTGCAGCGCCCTCTTCCGAACTCCTCAACTCTATCTGGTACATTTTTCCCATCTTAAAGTTGTCAAAATTCACTGTTCAAAACTTATCAAATGCCAGAAGAAGTTGACGAAATATCTGAACCATACGCATAATGTGATCTTTCCATTGGTTCTCAGTTTGTTTTGGTTATGACCTTGAAATCTGGTAGCTAAAAGCTAAATCCTGCTTCTTCGAACGTCTTTTAATGCTTGAAAGTGTGTGTTATAGTTGTTTCTCAACCTTGATAATATCGAAACTTCTTACGTATGGTGTGAACTTTCTGTGCTTATTGAAATTCTCTGTTCAATATACATGGACCATCCACTCGTGCAAAATTGTGCGCACATTTTCCGAATTGTTTATGCATTTTGGTTGTTTCTGCAGGAATAGATTTGAAACTGTTTCCCGGTTTCTCAACCAAGATCAGTCATATGAACATTGCTGATTGCTGATAAAAAAATCAACATTGCCTGACAACTGTTGGATAGGTGGAAATATGATGAAGATAAATCTTTTAAGACAATGAATACATAGAGATCTGATTTTATTTATGCTGTCAATAAGGGCCTAGGATGGTTGATGAGCCATATACTTCTTACTAGTTAGTTTTGAAATCTCGTTGTCCCGTGGTTTCCTTAATAAATCTTCATCTGGTTGATTCATCTCTGGTTGCCCCTATGAATAGTCATTCTGAAAGCAAAGAATACTACAAAAATCCAGACATGTGAAAAATGGAATGTATCATCAGGTTCTTCCTTTATGCACCAAAACAAAAAGAAAATTCCTTTCTCAAATGGAGCTTTATCAGTGTATTGTGAAGTCCAAAGTGAACATGGACACTCCAAACAACCACTGAAGGCTGGATGAATACATGCTGGAATAAGAGCTTCAGAGTTAATTTCACTTTATCCTGAAGGCAGTACAACCCAAAACAATGTTCTTTCCAGGATGAGGTGGGTGGGTGGGGGAATCTAATGGCATCCAGTCTATGTACACTTTGGTTGGATTGAAAAAAGAAATAAAGAGGAACAAGAAATCAAAAGATGCAAAACAACCAAACAAAAGGTCTAGGTCTGGTAGTGCTAGATGTCGCAAGATCATTTCTTTTTTGATGAATAATGAGTGAATTTATTAATAGATTAAGAGCATAAAAGATACACAGAGAAAGTTCCCAAATTGAGGCACAAGATGCAGCCTCGGATTAAAGCAAACAATTACAGTTTAGCCCAAAACATCTGATTCCTATGCACCCATTGTTTAGCTAGTGAATCTGCTAACCCATTTTCTGATCTTCTTTCCCATTGGAATTGGATTGACATGTTTGTAGTTAGCCATTTAAATCTTCATAGTGCCCCTTTATAGGACTAGGCTGCTGTTTCTGGTTCTTTTAACCACTGGATCACCAACATGGAATCACCTTCGATTAACAACTGTTCACAATTCAGTTCCTTGGCAAATTCAGCTCCTTGTAGCACTGCTTGAATTTCTGCATTGACTGAATCCCCTACTCCTATAGGGCCAGAATATAAAGTGATGATTAACCCCTCTATATTTCTAAACAGCCCCCAACACAAGAAGGCCCTGGATTGCCTAAATTGCTGCCATCAAAGTTGAGCTTAATGATACCCTCTTGAGGAGGTTTCCATTCTGCTGATGGTTTAGGCCTCGTACTAGAGCTTTTGGCAACCACTTCCCAATTTCTCCATAAATTGTCAAAGGAGAATGGAGAAAATAGTTCCAAGGTCTTTACCCAATTAATGGCTCTATTAATTAAGCATTCCTATACAATGGTCTCGTTCCTCTCCTTCTCATCAAAGATTCTGGCATTTCTTTCTTCCCAAACAGTCCAAACTAGTGCAACCCTAGCACACCTCCACAAGACTCTACCTCTTTTCTTAGGCCACCTGAAAGTTGTAGGTTCAAATAGATTGCTAACCTGCATTGGCATTGTCCACCTGCATCAAGAGAGACTTAAAAGCTTTTCCTAGAGACCTACAGCAAAGGGATAGGATATTAGTAAATGGTAACAACTTTCTCCACTTGCTTTGCAGAGGACACACCAGTTAGGGGATAAACTGAGACAAGGTCTTCTTCCTTGTAGGTTGTTCAAGGAGTTAGTTTTTCAAGTGAGGCCTCCCAACAAAGGGCTCCTACTTTAGGGGGAACAGGTTTAGACCAGGTCTCTTTACAAGGGAAAGGCTGAGATATAGGGGCAGAGCATAAGGAAGAGAAAAAGGAGGCACAAGAGAATGTACCCGAAAGATTAGGGGACCAAATACGAGCATCTGGTTTAGAAGGGTACAGACAGATAAGATCAAGCAAGCAAAGTAACTGTGCTGTCTGGTCAAGTTCAGAATCTCTTAAATCTCTACTGAAACCTAAATCCCAATTGAAATCTGGTGACAAGGAGAAGGAGACATATACTGGTTCATTTTTAAAGCGAGAGAGGGAATACACAGGCGGAAAAAGGTCCTTGAGGGTTGAATTTCTAATCCATAAATCCTCCCAAAAAAGAACCCTAGCATCATTTCATTGTTTTACACTACATGGATACTGAATTACATAAGATGGATTTTGGAGTTGGTTACAAAGGAATGGTGTTGAAGGGGGCGTATAGCTAACTCAAGGAAATATTAATAAAAAATGTCTCTTGGAACATAATAGAGACTATGTAAACTCTGTTCTCCTAGTCTATTGTTCTTTTGATTTATTGCTATTACCCCCTTCATTTTGGGGCTTTCTTGGTTGTCCTTTACTTTTAACCCCACTTTATATTGTTATTTCTTACTTATAATCTATGACTATTTTACTTTCATCTATCACTTAATTCTTTGGTAAAATCTCATTTATATGCATAGCAAATTTCATGGGCAGGTCAAAAAGCAAGGGAAGCAGAGTGACCTTTCAGAGTTTTGCTCCCAGCTTGATGCTTTAGGCTTGAAAGTTGTTCAAGTGACTGCAGATGGTAACTGTTTTTTTAGGTTAGTCCTAGGTGGACAATCTCACATTTGTTTTCGTGGTAATAGCATAAAATGCCCGTGAACAGTGGACTTTATATGATGGCTGGTTGATCTGATGTTTCTGTTGTATCTTTCAGTTTGAGTTTCATCTTTTACGTCAAGTATATTCTTGTAATTTAGGTTGATTGTTAGATGGTTTGCAGGGCTCTTGCAGATCAGTTGGAAGGAAATGAAGAGGAGCATGGGAAGTATCGCCATATGGTGGTACAGTATATTCTGGTAAACAACTCTTTTTCTTAGAAAAGAATGAATGCCTTGTAGTTTTTATCTGACAATTATATTCATCGGCACTGCTTCAGTTAAGATGTTAGTAACTTGTATTTCATATGAAACCTGTACTGCATGAGCTCATCTTGGATACCCATGAAATAACACACAAATTGCAACAAAAAAGGTCCCATAATTTTCTTTTCTTGATCCATAATCGAAAAGATTTCTTGATCAAAGGAGAACAAGCAATAACTATAAAGTTTGGCTGAAATACTTCTGTAAGTGGGAGTCAGCTCCAAGCCTCAACAATGCCATCCACATGGCTAGAAACATAGAGTGCAATTTGACCCTCCACCAAAAGAAAAAAAAAAAGAAAAAAGGAAAAAGATAAAAGATAAAGTTTTCCTCATAGTTGCTGATTCCAATACATCTTAGCCCTCACTCCATCTCTAGACAAGACTATCTGTAATGAGTTGGCAAACCTAAGAATTCACCTAAACAAGATGTGCTCTTTGGAACCATCAACTGTAGGAATAGGATTCTCTGCTCCCTCTTCTCTTTCTTGTCTTTGAGCAACCTCCTTTGAAGAATCTGAACTCTGGTCTTAAGGCAACACTTCACTTTCATCTTAACAATTTCACTTTTTGACCAACTGGCCAAACGGATTCAAACATGTAGAATCGAAGATGGGTTGCTTTCCTTGATATGGGCAGATCCGAAAGGCTTGAAGATCTTCATTTGTTTTTATCTTTCGAGGTATCTTTTATGGTTTGGGCTTCAATGAATTATAAGGCTTGTAGAGCCTCTCTAACATCATAGACTGCACTAAAAATATTAAAGATTAGTTGTTCATACTTCACTTGTCATGAGCACATAAAAGTTTATACTATTGGTGATAAATAACAGCTGAAACTTGTATTTTGAATCATTCAATATGATAAATGGTCCTTATATCCTTTCTTTCATCAGGTTACCAGAAAAAAAATATAGGTGTTTTATTATTATTTTTTACAGAATCAGAAAATTTGTGTATTAATAAGAAAGTATATCTTCTTCTTCTTCTTCAATTAAAGTATCATTTATTAATCAGAAAATATAGGGTGTAAGATGTATAAATTTAAGGTCCATAAACAATCAAGAGGTATAAAGAGGGATCCAAGTTACTTGTACTTGGGGCATGCGATCTAACTGAATTTGCTCGATATTCATTGGGCAAGATTTATTTCAATAGTTGAAGTGTTCAAGCATTTCTAGAAGTGTTTGTTGTGATTTGTTCTTTGAAGAGTTGGATTTGGAAACACAAACACACCTTTGGTCCTACAATAAGGCCCAACCGTACTAATATACTGTTTATCCATATCCACCTTCAATGCTTAGCATATCATTTAATAGATGATACATGGGACTTGGTGCTTCAAAAAGCACTTTGACTTGTATAATTTGTTCTGTGGACTTTCATATCAACCAACTAATACAAGTAAACCTGATCTCAGAACTGTGTCTAACAGAAGCATCGGGAAGAGTTTGAACCTTTTATTGAGGATGACATTCCATTTGATGAATATTGCCAGTCCATGGAAAAGGATGGCACATGGGCTGGACATATGGAATTACAAGCAGCTTCTCTTGTTACCCGTAGCAATATTTGCATTCATCAAGTAAGAATTTCCTCCACTTTTTATTACTTTCTTGTTTACATAAAACCAAATATTCTCTGTTTCTATTACTTGTTTGGAAATTTGCTTAGCTGATTGTTTAGCTAAGCAAGGGGCCTAAAGGGAACAATTATTTTGGGCAGATCTGTACTCTTTTGTTTTTGTTTGATGTAATTCTCAATTTTCGGGAGTGGTCTTGTGCCTCTCCAAGGGTAGCCTGTAATGCTTTCACCACTTGATCTTTTTGATAATAAAATCCTCTCCATCTATAAAAAAACCACTTCCTAACCTATGATACATGGATACTTGTGCAATGGTGCCATATCATGTCATATTTTACTTTTTAGTGTAAGTTTCATATCTGACAACTTGTTAAGCTGTGTCATTTTCCTGTCTGGGTAACATGGTCCTAAACATCATATCCTATGAAGTTTCTAGTTAATTCTTGTTTATCCCATTTATATGATGATTGTTATAGTTGAATGCTTAGACAGTGATGTGTTGGCTTAATTAGCATGGATTCTATATTATGAAAGCATTGACTTTTTTTTTTTTGTTAACTTGGCAGCTTAATTAATATGTTAAAAAAAGAGGTAATAATATAATATACACAATACAAATCATGCCCGAGAACCTCATATTTCAATTATAGGCTAGTTCATTTACCTTAATCCATTAGAACCCTTTCAATGATCAGCTGTCATGTTCTGTTTCCCTATAGCAAGAAAACATGTGATAAGCCATTTCATTTAGGACATTCCATCAAAAGTCTAATTCAGTAGCCTAGTCTTTTAGTCTAAAGCTTGAAAGGATCAGTTAGACCAACAATGCATGCCACCTTTCTATCTAGTGTTGTGCAAAGAAAATATGTGTTTCTTCATATTATGATCCATAACATTTAGGGCAAACTATCAAAGATATAGATATTCCTTTTAAGATCTTAATCAAGTATAAACAGTAGATTTAGTTAGACTGTTAGAGTTGCCAAACCATTAAGGACTTGGTTGTTCCAATGAAATGCATTACCCCCAAAAGAAAAAAGTAAAAATATTAAGAGAAGCATATTTAACAATGCATAGACAAATAAATTCATTGTATTTGTTTTCAAGCTGATTATGTTAGATGTATGGTGGGTTTTGTTTTTCCTTCTTTTACGTCAGTAGGATTATAAAAGTTTGGAAGGTATAGATGATTTTTCTGAGAAAGAGTACTGCTGAGATATGTAGTAATGTTTGGCAAAAAAGTGTAAATGTTGAATGCACATCAGTGTATAAAATTTACAATAGCAACCTTCTGTAAAAAAGAAGGTAGAGAAGGAGCTTTCACTATGGAAAAATTCCTCTTCCACCCTAGATCTAGCTAACCCATCTACAATTGAGCTGAGGTTTCCTTCAATCCAATTTGAAATCAGATCTGAAATAAAGAAAATAAGAAGAGAAGAGTGAAAAGAGGGAAAAGAAGAGGACAGAAAATAGAGTGGGAGAGAATCATAGTGAGAGTGCCTCTCTAAGGGATGCTTCCATTGTATGTATATAGTGGTCTTTTTTTAATAAAATTTCAAAGTTACTTATAAAAAAACAGAAAAAAAAAGAAAAAAAAAAGAATCATAGTGAGAGTGGTGGTGCCCATTCTCTTATTTTATCAGGGTAACTTTAAAATGAGTAAAAGGACAAGAATACCCCTGTGCCCCATAGAGTACACACATTACAACACATTTAATTTCAGTTAAAATGGCATTCAGGGTTTCCCTAATTTCATGAAGGAAATGAGTGATACACCAAGGAACTCTTTCCATGCCTTGGCTCTACAAATGATATTTGCCGAATTGCCTTCAATGGAAATAGAATTAAAGTTTGCCTGTTTAATAACTTATCAAATAGAAAAAATGGTTTGCCTGTTCAGTAATCTAGTAGTCCACATTCCACAAGACGGGCAGGAACTTCATCTTTTGTGGGGGCTGTATTGCTGATAGGGCCACTGAAAGTCCAATACATATTTACATCAGATTTGAAAACACCTCACTGATACCCGATGGGCTTGGTTGCCGTGGGAGCTTCTATCAAATCATAATTTTATCTCCCCATGCACCCAACCTAGGGGTTTGTGTGCTATAATGCCTGCTTACCTGTACAAGGGTGTCATATGGTCGTATCATGTTGGATGCTTCAACTCTTTAGTTCAAATTCTGTATCTGACATTCAGCAATGCCCTTACCATATCTGGGTAATGTGGGTTGAAGGTGTCCTTGCAAGAGGAGCCTTGGGGAATGATCAATGAATATAGGATCTCTGGTAGGTCTCTCCTTAGGTCATCAGGGGATATGCCCCAAAATTCTTTTGAGGCAATAAGCAACACAAGCTATGGAAGGAGAGAATAGAACTCCTTATAGCTAGTTAGCCACAAATTATTCTTTCTTGATTTTAAAAATGTGTTTATTCCTTTTTTTTTGATAAATAAAATCATTTCATTAAAATAATGATTAGATACAAGAAAATTCCCTTAGAGGCATGAGACGCAGCCTCTCCGAACAGCAAATACACAAACTACAACAGAGAATACATGAATGCTGATGTTAAAACAAGAGTTACAGTTGTGCCCAGAACAATGTTTCCCTATTTATCCCTTGTTTTGCCAAGACATCGGCAAAAGCATTAGCTGATCTCCCAACCCACTGTACTGTTATAGACATATTTCTTGTCAGCCATTTGAATTTCTTTAGCTCATTTTTGTAGCCCCAAGTGACATCCTCCGGATTATTTAACCAGTCCACTCTCTTAGAGTCTCCATCAATCAGAAGCTGCTCCACGCCCACTTCTTTTGCAAGAAGTATTCCTTGTATTGCAGCTAACAGTTCTGCCCGGATAGAGTTCCCAACACCTAAAGGGCCAGAGTAGAGTAAGACAACCTCTCCAGCCTCATTCCTCAGCTAACAGTTCTGCCCAGATGTGTTTATTCCTTTCTTCTCAGAGACCTAAATAACTGCATGAAATATATTGATCCAGTGGATGTTTGCCCCTAACACCCAGACCTTAACTTTTCAATGACAGAGCATTTCTAAGATACCAATAGAAGCTACTGGCTCCAGTCTCACTAGACTCAATAAGAAGTTTTATTAGTTTTCTAGTCTCTTGACAGTGAAGTAGGTGGTGAGTGATGGACCTCCCCTCCCTCCCAATGTAAAAACTCCGAAGTCTCTTTCATTAGAGTATGGCACAAATATCAATTTTGTCTTAGTAAGCTCTTCAAATGAAGAAGAATACCCTATGTGTTAAGTAGAAATCTGCTGAATTAAAAAATATAAAAGAAAAGTAGTTTCTTGAAGAGAGAAGGAGAAGAAGAGAAGTTGGAAAGAAAAGAGAGCAATGATTTGGCTGCCCCCTTCACTTATTATTATACTAAAATAATAGAACAGTACAAAGACAACTATGCCCTTATAGGGCGGCAAAACATAAAACA